TGAAACAGTTGAAAGAATTAACAACTTGGGGGCTGGAGAGATGGCTCGGTGGTCTAAAGCACCTACTTAGAACAAGCTTAGCAAAAGCATCAGGGACCGCGGTTCAATCCCCCAGCACCACATGCCAGCCGGCCCGCCCCCTGGTGGGCTGAGCTGGCCTCTCTCTCTCTCTATCTCTGTCTCTCTGTCTCTCTCTCTCTCAAATAAATAAATAAATAAAATTAAAAAAAAAAGATACGTCTCCATCTCTCTGTCTACTAAGATAACATTCTTGTGTGTGTGTGTGTGTGTGTGTGTGTGTGTGTGTGTGTGTGTAACTGGGGATTGAACTCAGGTGCTTGCACTTGCCAGGGAAGCGCTTATTCCACTGAACTATCTCCCCAGTCCCCTATTTTTTTAAATTTATTTATTTTGAGACAAGGTCTCGCTATGTAGTTCAGGCTGAGCTTGAACTCTCTGTAGTCCAACCTGGCCTCAAAATCACAGCAGTGCTGTTTCAGCCTCCAGAGTTCTGGGGTTACAGGTATGCATCATGTCCCACTGTGTTAGAATAACATTTAAATTTTAAAAAATCATTTATTTATTCGGTCCAGGGTCTCACTACACAGCTCAGACTCATAGTGATCCTCCCATCTCAGCCTCCCCAGCACTGGGATTACAGCTGTGCACCACCACACCCAGTTTCGGGTGGCCGGCTTGATGCAGGGGACCACACTGAGGTACTGGGGCTCGAACCCAGGTCCTTGCGCTTGCCAGGCAGATACTTAGTCAGCATTATGATAATGCATTTTCCTCAAGTCAAACGACTTGCCAAAAATGCTTAAACCAAATTAGAACTCTACAGGCTACATGAGGGGCTGGGGAGATAGCTCAGTGGAATAACTGTGTGGCTGGCAAGCACAAGGTCCTGAGTTCAATCCCTGGTACCACAAAAAAAAAACCAGCATAAAAGATAGTACTCAATACAGGCTACATGATTTATACCTCCACTGTTGTGAATTCTACAAAGATGAAATGGGTATCAGCAAATTGAGACTTGAGAGCTCAACGTAATGCATTCCCTGATGGGTCAGCCCTGCACTGCATGTGAAGCCCTGTTGGCAGAGAGGGCTTGGCTGTCCTTGGGAGAGATGTCTGCCAAGTGCTGCTCTGCGTGAAGTCACTCTGCACGCCAGCCTGAGCTCTGCCTTCAATCCTGAGCACACTCTTGTCCTGGGTACAGGTGACTTGTCCCACACGCGCTCACTGTGGGCAGGCGAAGCAGGAACAGCGGGCAGTGGAGCAGTGGAGCAGCAGCGTTGTCGTGCCTCCCTCCTCCTCCTCCCTCTTGTCCTGCCCTTTGTCCCTTGGTCTTTTGTGGTCAGAGCTGGAAGCCCTAGGGCTGTTCTTTGCAGGGACAGGTGCTGGGAATCGAACTTAGGACCTTGAACTTGCCAGACAGGCACAGTACGACTGAGCTACAGCCCCAGCCCCAATGACTGCTGTGTTGCCTACAGGGCAAGATGTGAACTGCTGAAGATGGTAAGGCACCTGGGGCAATGGGTGTCTTCACTGCCCCCATCTCTTCCTTGTCCTTGCAAGGATGTTCTCTTCTTCCTAGCCTACCATACTCACCATCACCACTCCTGGCAACACCACTGCCTTCACCCACCGTCCTTGACTCAGACATAAAGCATAAATACCAAGGTTCTGGGTACCTTGTAGCCCTTTATTCCCAAAAGCAACTGGCCATCCCAGACTCTGCTGCACACACTTTTGTCTTAGTTTGTTTTCTGCCACAGGCCCTAATTCCAGGCAGGAAATTGGGGACTCACTATAGTAGCCCCTAATAGGAGGAAAGGAGACCCTTCTCACCTGGTGCCAGGGAAAAGGGTCTTCAATATCCAATGTCTTTAAGCCTTCTAGTAGTCCATGACTTCATGTCTTACATTCAGGCCCTTAATCAATTTTGAGTTCACGTTTATAACCAGTGAGAAAGTTTCATTCTTCTGCTATAGCTATCAGATAACCTTTTCAGACTTTCATAGTTGCCGTCACATGGCCAGAATCATTAGATGGAGTCAAGCCTCTAAGCTAGCTTATGTCGCCCTTTTTTAAATGCTACAATAAAAAACTTAAAAGAATAAAGGAAGTGGGCCAGGGAGACAGCTCAGTAGAGTAAGTGCCTGTCTGGCAAGCACAGGGTCCTGAGCTAAATCCCTGGGATGGGGGCGGGGGAGACAATAAAGGAAGTGTTCTACTTCTGTTATGTAAGTTCTCTGTGGCCCGAGACAGTTCATCTTCACTTAGTGTGGCCCTGGCAAGCCAAAAGTATGTATGCTTACGCTCTAGAATTTTGCTTTCTAGGCTTCTCAGCCTTATTTTTCAGAGAATAGTTTGGGGTTTTTTTTGTTGTTGTTGTATTTTGTTTTTCAGAACTGGGGATTGAACTCAGGTCCTTGGGCTTGCCAGGCAAGCGCTTATTCAACTGAGCCATCTCCCTGGCCCCCCAGAGAATAGTATTTTGTAGGTTTTGTTTCAGGATTTCAACTCTTCGATTTTGTATTTAGGGACTGTGAATATAGGGATTTTAGACCAAGGATTTTAATGTCTTGAGATTGTGTGGGTGCAGGTGCCATGTATTGGGTGAAACCTTGGGCCTTGTACTTAACGAGCCCAGGACCCACCACTGGGCCACCCCAAGCACTCTTTCATTTCAGAGTCCTTTGGAATTACACTGGGCACTGCCCAAACTGGGCAGAAGCAGCTAAGGTGACACGTCCCCTGGACACCTGTCTCCCCAGTGGAGGGGCAGGCCTGGTCCCAGGGGCAGGCCTGGTCCCAGGGCTCTGCAGGCCTTGTGGGAGCCACAGCTGTCCCAGGTGGAAGACGTGCTGCTAAGAGCTGTTGTGCTGCTGATCTGCTAAATAGGAGGGTACACTGAGCTGCAAGGGCCCCCAGGAAGGACAGGACCCTGCCTGCCAACAAAGCCCTTTAATAATTCTACCACGAAGTAGGAACACAGCGTCTCTGTCCAGTCACAGCCAGGACCCCCTCTGAGGGAGCCCAGAGCAGGTCCATGTGCAGAGGGCCAGTTCTGGGAGCCTGCACAAGGTGCGCCTCAGGAGATGATCTTCAGGGACGGCTTCTCCCTCTCCAGAGCCTCTAGCTGGTCCCTCATGTCATCGCTCAGGTAGACATCGAACAAGCTGCAGGCAGGAGGGAGTGCTGTTTCCATACTCACCAGCCGTAAGGTCCCCCCACAAGCCCCAGGAGCCCACACCACTCACAACAGGCACTCTAGGGCACAAGTTGGCTGCCGGAGGCCCTCCACCAGCTGCAGGATGCCAGGGTCCCCCAGGCCGTTGTTGCTGAGGTCCAGCTCCCGCAGGCTGTGGCAGGCCAGCAAGACCAAGGCCAGGTTGCTACAGCTGCTACTGGTCAAGTTACAGTCCCCCAACCTGTGCAGGGAGTAAGCAGGGGTCGGGATGGACTGGCCCAGGCTCCCACCTCAGCATGGTGAAAGCCCACAGCCAGGATGCTGTCAACCCTGAAACAGACCTGCCTGTGGCAAGTCAGGACCTCAGGGTGCCCATTCTTCAGTCCAGCCCATCTCTTGGTCCCTTCACAGTCCCTCCACAGCCCCAGGTATTGTCCCTACTAAAGACAGGGAAGGAGTGGACACACCACACCTTGCTTCCCCTACGACTAGCACCTGTGACAGTACGGGGGTATGCAAGGGGGCGGGCAGACTCCAGTGGAAGGATGTGGGCAGACCCAGCACTAACGCCCACAAGGGCAGGCCTGGACCAGATGGTCATGTGGAGTCACACCCACTCTGTGTCCAAGATGGGGTGGGGCAAGGACCCCTTTCCACCAGAGCAGTGGTAGCCCACCCTTCTGCTCCTTTCCCACCTAGCTGTGAGGGTCCCACAGCCTTGGCAGCCAGGAGGGTGACCACTGAGAAGGCTACAGGACTGTGCGCCAGGTAGCGCAACCCAACCCTTCCCAATGCTCAAGATGCCAATACCAAGCAGAGCCACAGACTAACAACTGCAAAGAACACACATCCAAGAGCAGAAGGAAGCTTGGGAGACTGGCTGGAAAATGAGAAACTCCAAAACTAAGAACAAAAAAAGAGAAAAGAGTGCACTGCAGGGCAAAGTCCTGGGCCCACCAGGAAGAGGAGGGGAGACAGGACAAAGAGCACGTCACTCAGGACCAAGGCCCACACCAAGGTGACACGCACTCAACTGGGGACATAAGGCCACCTGGGAGAAAGCACAGATCAAGGGCAACAGGGCCCTTGGGAACCAGAGAGCAACAGCAGAGAGGAGGCTCAGGCCCCAAACCCACTGGCGGGGCCGCACAGGCTAGTGCTGCAGAAGCTTCCCCGAGAAGCTGCTAGAGCACGCCCAGCCGAGTAGGTGAGGCAGAAGCCACCCTTGAGGCTCTGCTTGGGAGCGGTGGGAAGGCTCTGGCATCCCCCCTCCCCCCAGCTGCCAGCCTGGCAAGACCTCAGGATCGGAGCAGGACACGCATGCACAAGCACACACAGACTCACCCGAGCACCTGCAGCACGGAATGTGGCTGGCCCAGGGCCTGGCACAGCTCCTGCACACCACTGTCACCCAGATTGTTCTCACTCAACTGCAGCTCTGTGAGAAACTTGTTCTGGGCCAGCACTGACCGGAAGTAGGGGCAGCAGGCGGCTGTGAAGCTGCATTCCTTAACCCTGTGGGAGAGACAGAACAGGGGCCCCCAGCACCCTGGATTCAGGACTCACCCTTGTTGTCCAGGCCCCTACAAGCCCACCACCCCCAGACCTCCAGCTCCTCTCCATGCTGGGCTGTGGTCCCTGGAAGCCCTGCAATCTCTGTGTGGGCTCCACTGTCCTGACAAAGGCCCGCCTCCAACGCAGCCCCTTGCCCTCACCATAGACACTCCAGCTGGCAGGTGGGCGCCTGCAGGGCCTCGCATAGCAGCCGGGCACCCTCGTCCCCCAGCCCGTTGAGCATCAGACTGAGCGCCTTTAGGCTCTGCTTGGCCCTGAGGACCTGGCACAGGTCCCTGCAGCCCCCAGCAGTGATATCACACTCCCAGAGCCTGCAGGACATAGACAATTTCTGAGGAAAGCCCAAGACAAGACGGGTACACTGCTGCTACCACCCAGTCTGGGTACGAACTCACCACAGCTTCTTGAGCCTACAGCTGGGGTGCAGCAGGCATGAGCACAGCGCTGCAATACCCACATCGCCCAACCTGTTGTTGCCCAGGTCCAGATCCTGCAGAGAGGGCTTGGCAGCCAGAACATCACAGAGCTCCTTGCAGCTGGCTGCCGTGACACCGCAGTTCTCTAGCCTGGAGACAGGGCCATGTCCAAGGGAGACCCTCAGCCCCAGCCCCACCCCTCTGTCCTTGAGGCCCGGTGCATACCAGAGTGTCTCCAATGGACAGGCAGAGTCCTTCAGGCCCCTGAGGAGTGTGCGGATGCCTGCCTCATGGATGTCATTATTGCTCATGACCAGCTCCTTGATGCTGGACTTGGCCCGCAGCATGGAGGCCAGAGGCTCACAGCTGGCATCTGAGAGGCCGCAATAGTCCAGCCTGGAGGCAGACAGGGTCTCAGCACACTCCATGGCTCAGGAGTGGGGTGGGGGTGGGGGAGTCAGGGAGACCTGCTGCTGTCTCCTCACCCATCCCTCTTCGGCCTCCACCCTCTCCTGCCTGAAGCCAGGGCTAAAGGTCAAGGACACGAGCACCCAGAGCCTCTGGACACACTGAACATTCCTTCAGGCAATGTTCTGAAAGCCCAGTTCATAGTCTGGGTCTCCCCCAGACCCAATAAAAAGGAACTGGCCCATAGGCAGGGCCACCTGTGCTGGGCTGTGTCACCCTGATGTCCCCTAAGTCCTATCAGGCAGCCCCTTGCCAAGGACACCCAAAACTCTGGGGAAGGGACACTACGAGAGTGCTAGGACCCCACACACCCTCCCAGCTCTGGTGGCCGCAGTGCCGAGGCTGTGCAGGTACCTGGCCGGGTACCAGGTGAGGCAGTAGGAAGCCCAGAGTCCCCTCAGGACACAGACTCACTGCAGCTTCTCCAGATGGCACTGGGTGCCCATGAGTCCCTCGGCGAGCAGCCGCAGGCCCCCATCCCCCAGCTGGTTTCCACTAAGGCGCAGCTCTCGCAGAGTGGGCATGGAGGGCAGCACACTGGGCAGGACGCCACAGCCAGTCTCTGTCAGGCCACAGTACGGCAGGCTAGAACACAAGACCCTCAGTGACCCCCACCTCCACCAGACCCCAGAAATGCCCCACAGAAGTGTGCCCCGCTCCTCTGAGCAGCACCCTGAGTCTCCAGGCTGAGATAGGAGGGGGCCATGGGGCCATATACCAGACCCTTACTTAGGTGGGGCCATGGCCTAGAACACGGCCAGAGGGTACCCTGTCCCCATATGACAGCCACCTCACTCGTGTGCCTCTGGTTGGAGAAAGGGTGCCTGCAGATGCCACCTATGCCGTGCAGACACCTGCAGCCCTGGAAGCTCTCCTGACCCTACCTGTGCTCAGCAGGCTGTGCCAGTCCTCACCTGAGACTCTGGATCTTGCACGTGGGGCTCTGCAGGCCCTGCAGCACGAGGTGCACACCAGCATCCCCCAGTTCGTTGTTGCTCAGACAGAGCTCAGTCAGGGTGGGGCTGGCCCGCAGCATGGCACTGAGGTCTCTGCACCGTCCCTCCGTGAGGCCACAGTCCTCTAGCCTGGGGACAGACCCTCGGGGTCACTGTGGGTCAGAACCACTCTCAGGCCTAGTGACCCTCACACACCTCAGGCCGGGACCCATCAGCAGCCCAGAATATCAAAGGGTGATCTCTAATGATGACACTTAAAATGCGACACAGAAGAGAACAGCAGTAGAGAGTGTGGGTTGTCGTGTTCCCAAGGTCATTCATAACAGGTCCTATGTGTCTACACAGGACACATAAGGGCAGACCTCCGCCAAGTGATGACCATGAGGCTCATGCAGATGGCAGGTCTGGGGAACACGAAGGCCGAGAGTTCTCAGCAGGCAGGGAGGATGGCAAAGCTGTACCTCAAATCCGCTCTGATTCACACGAATACATGAACCAGTGTGGCTGGAAGAAAACCAGCTCTTACCACAGAAGAGTGATGGTTGAGAAAGTGGAAGGAAGAAAAAATGACAAAGTGTGCTGCACCACAGTGACTTCAGACAGTCACCAAGGAGGCTGAGACCAGCAGCAAAACTCATAGCAACAGTACAGCGGAAACGGTAGAGCCAGGTCTCAGCATGTCAGCCTGGACCCTAGTTGCTTGTACGGGGAAATCATGACCCAGAGAGGAGTCAGAAGCTGTGGTGGGGGCTGGTGAGATGGCTCAGTGGTCTAAAGCACCTACTTAGAACACGCTTAGCAAAGCACAGGGACCGCGGTTCAATCCCCCAGCCCCACATGCCAGCCAGCCCCGCCCCCTGGTGGGCTGAGCTGGCCACACACACACACACACAAATAAATTTTTTAAAAAAGTTAAAAAAAAAAAAGAAGAAGCTGTGGTGACCACACAATACCACCAACACCCATGATATGATGTGCCAGACAGGACCCACAGCAGCTCCATGTTCCTGCCAGAAACGGGTGACCATCATGAGAAGAACCCAAGTCCAGAGAGACAGAGCAGGGCATCTAGACTTAAGAGTCAGGTCACAGGGACCCTCGCAGGGCAGGGAAAGGACAAAAAGCAAAACGCATCTGAAACCAGCTGGGTCGCATGACCATCTTCATGAGACCATCATCAGGGAGGCTGGTGGAGGTCAAGGGCCTTCCTGGCTATATGGACTTAATGCCAGGAAAAGGCAGCCCAACAGGCATTGCTTACTGCCCTGGGCCTGCACACACTAGGGGCCAGAGGAGGGCCTGACTCCATCCCCTGCTGGAGCTGGGCGGAAACAGGCATGGCGCCACAGCAGTGGCTGGGACCCCGGTGCCTCATCCTGCCACTGTCCCCAGAGGAGGAGTGGGACCAAGGAGCAGAGACCAGGTTGCCTGTCACCCACAAGCGCCACTGCCTTCTGCCTCCAGGCTACTCTGGGGAGCTGGCAGGGGTTTTTAATATAGGTGCACATCTGTGTGTGTACACAAACATATATGCATGTATACACACATGTACATATAAACATGTATACACATATGACATGCAAAAACATGCAGTCACAAGCACAGAAAATGCAATTTACAGATTCATGTGTACAAATCAGAACACACTGGAGCCAGGGAGATGGCTCAGTAAAATAAGTGCTTCCCTGGCAAGCGCAAGGGCCTGAGTTCAATCCCCGGTTCCACCAAAAAAAAAAAAAAAAAAGCATACATATACATAAGCAAACATGCATCCATACATATACAAACTAGAAAATACATATATACATGCATGCATTATATACATGTAGATGTATATAAACACATGTGCATGTATACATTCAAATGTACATGTGCATATACATAAACATGCATTTAGATACAAACATATAAAGACACATGTAACTTGTATGTACATGCACATGCATAAACATGCACACTCACAAATACATGAGTGCATGTGTGCATAGGCATGTCCTTGTGTGCATGCATATGCACATATACATGTGCAAACATACATCTACAATTATTTAAGCATATGCACATAGGCACACACACGCACATATACATGCAATACACATATCTACACATACATAACATTGCAGTTTTGCAGAGATGGAACCCAGGGCCTTGTGCACACCAGGCAAATGCTCTGCCCCTAAACTTTATTCCCAGTAGTCTGTTTGTTTTTTTTTTTTTCCTCCGAATGTCTTTAGGGCAGGTTTGGCTGGCTTGAGTTGTGGGGATCAAACCACAGCAACCTGAGCCTGACTGCTTTGTTGAAGCAGCCACTTAAAGAACTGAAGTAAGGGGCAGCCTCCCCCCACCCCCGTAGTGTTTTTATGTGTGGTTTTTCTTTTTTTTTTTTGAGATGGTCTTGCTATGTAGTTCACTCTGGCCTTGAAATCATGATGATCCTCCTGTCTCAGCCTCCCAAGTACTGGGATTAAAGGTGTGCACACCGTGTCTGGCTCCAGTGGTTTTGACTTTTTTTTTGGTCTGGTTCAGGATACCTTCAGGGCAGATCTGGTATGGCTTGAGGATCTGGGGAATGAACCACAGCATCCTGATTGCTTTGTTTAAGCAGTCATATAAACAGCTGAGCTAATGGGCAGGCCCCGTTTTGACTTTTTTTAAGTGTCAAAAAGCAACCATAAGGGCCAGGGATATTGCTCAGCGGCATAAGCACCTGCCTGGCAAACACAAGGTTATGAGTTCAATCCCAGGTACCGTTTAAAAAAAAAAAAAGGAACCCTAACAATATCACCACGTGCCATGAACGCTGAGACACTGCAGCACGGCGAGGCCCTCCAGCCTGCCACACACTCCTCATGCTGACCCAGGTGCCTGTACCTGACCACTTGGTGCTGCTGGATCAGCGGCAGGAGCTCCGTCCACCTGGCATCACTCAGCTGCTCACAGCAGATCTTGAGACTCATGATGTATATGCGGTGTCGTCTGGGCAGGAGGCAGAGGGAACAGAGTTCTCAGGAACTCTCATGGCCCTGCAGGCCACATGTTTTCACCACTCAGGACAAGGAGCACTGTCTGGGAAGGGCCAGCCTCTCCCAGCAAAGGCCTGTTCTGTTTCCACCCTTGACTTCAGCCACTTGGGCTCCAGGAGCAGATGAGGGGTGCTGGACTCCCTGGCTCTACCATAGGCAGCAAAGCTTGGGAAACACAGCTGTGGGGTACAGAGGCCACTAGCCATGGTGGTACCTCTGGTCTAAGAGAGGGCAGAATGGTGAGTCTGCCTCTTATTGGCTTGAGCAGGGATGGCCCAGGCTGGCTGTGAAAGTCCTTACTTTCCACTAGCCCAACCTATACTGAGGCCAGTGCAGGCTGGCAGACAGTATCACAGCCCACATCAGTGAGCCCCCACAAAGCTGGAACTCCCAGATGCCTCCTCACACAGCCTGACCTCGTAGTTCAGAAGCACTGCAAGGTGAGGGGCCGGGCAGCACAGGGCACTTGGGCTGATTTGTGGGCAGCCATCAGGCACAGCTTCCATAACTGTCCTGGACCTGGCACTCTCTGTCTGCCTGTGCAGCGGGCCCAGGCCCAGGCCAAGGACACGGCAGCCCATGCTAGCCAGGAGGGGTAGGCACAGGTCTCAAGCCCTAAAACCTGATAGGGACAGGCACAGAGTCTGAATACACAAGACAGCCACCACTGTGGATAGTGGCTACTGAGGCCCCGAGACAGCACAGCACACACCTGCCCTGGAGAAAAAGGGCAGTCTTGTCTGAGGGGCAGCTAGCCACACAAGGCCCCACAGGTTTCCTTAGCGACTGACGGCCAAGCAGGCCAGCTGGAGCAGCACCTGGCCACCAGGCGCACACCCTGGAAGGAGTGTCTGGACCATTAGCTGCGTGGGGAGGAAGCTCTGCCTTCCAACAGCTGGAGAAAAGGAGTCGAGGGGATGGCTCAGTAGAATAAGCGCTTCCCTGGTAAGCACAAGGGCCCAATTTCAATCCCCAATAAAGCCGGAGAAAGCTCAGCACCTTTCTCTCCTGGAAGTCACAGGCTGGCTGACTTCTATAAAGGTTGGGACAACATGCTGATGGAAAAAAAAACAAAAAAAAAAAACCACACAAAACATGCTGATGGCCCCAAGAGTCTCCTGAGAACATCCCCTTCCTGTTGTTGCTCCTTGGCCCAGCGCTGTCTCAGGGCCCACAGCGGGGCAGAGGCCCCTTTGTGCCAGCCAGGACAGACATGTTTATATGCTCACAGCAACTGAGGCAAGGGCAAGGCTAACTCATGGTCACAGTGTCACCCCATGGAGGAAGGCACCTAGAGTCATACCTGTCCCTATGCATAGGGAGGGAGCAAAACCAGGTGGGGCTGGGGCCAAGTGAGTCACCCTCACCTTAAGGTCATCTCCAGAGTCATGGGGGGGGCAGGAGGGGCCACCTGACTGCCTCCAGGTGGTCCAAAGTCCCTCTTCAACCCAGGCCACACACAAAGGAAGCCCCTGCAGTCTCCCCCTGGGGCACAGGCTCTGGGATTGGGTTGGCCAGCTCCCCTGCCATGATGGCAGGGTGGGAACAAGTATGGGGAATGGACATGACAGCTGAACCCCCCTCAGCCTTAGCCAGGCCCCACTGTATACTCTGAGAACATCAGGATGCCCTTCGGCCCCCCTGGCTCACTGGCATGTTTGAAACTCTCATGAAAACCTGTAATGGCCCCAAACACACACACGCACACACACACACACACACACACACACACACACACAAATACCTCTATGTGCAGGAGGCCCCACAGGCCTGTCCAGTCAGGAGTCAGAAGGAACCTTCACAGGCACACCCACCAGCCCACAACCACGTGGTTCCCTGGAGGGGCAGACAGTGGCAGCTGGCCCAGCCTCAGAGCCTAGGGGGGCACAGGGAACCACTAGGTCAGACGCAGGTCATGGCAAGAGGCTCTCAGGAACCCCACTTGCACCCCTTTTCAGGTTCCCCACACCCGCTGGAATGGATGCTTCACCATGTGTTAAAAGAGCCAGAAAGGGACCTGAGAAAAGCATGCTGGGCCAGCCGGGTGCTGCTGGCCATTACCAGCTGCTCACCTGGTGCCTGCCAACCGCGGTCCAAGCCACTGCTGCCCTTTCAGCTCAGAGTGAGGCCTCAAGTGCAGGGAGGGCCCAGAGATAGCCTGCCACCTCTCACCTGCCACGTCTCACTTTCACTTTGCCTGCTGGAGACCCTCCCACCTCTGCTGCTCACACCCAAGGCTCCAGGAGTTCCCCAGAACACAAGTAACAGGACAAACCGGACATTCAGGAGACTAAGACAGGAGGATGTCCATGAGTTTTCAGCCAGCCTGAGCTATATACTGAGCTCAAAGGCAGCAAGAAGTACAGAGACCCTGTCTCAAGAACAAATAAAAAGTCAGAAGGTGGCAGCCGGGCTGGTGAGATGGCTCAGTGGTCTAAAGCACCTACTTAGAACAAGCTTAGCAAAGCACAGGGACCGCGGTTCAATCCCCCAGCACCACATGCCAGCCCGCCCCGCCCCCTGGTGGGCTGAGCTGGCCACACACACACACACACACACACACACACAAATAAAATTTTTTAAAAAATAGAATATTTCTTTAAAAAAAAGAAGGTGGCAGCAGCAAAGGGTACTGAGGATGGAGAGAGGCTGCCTCTAGACGCTGGAAAAGGCAAAGGCTGATCCTCCTCTGAAGCCTCCAAAAGGAACCAGTCCCATCAAGCCTTCACTTCAACCCAAGACTTATGTGGACTTCTGGTGAAAAGCCTAAGACTGCAAATTCGCGGCGATCTGGTTATAGCCAGCAAACTAACACTTCTCACTTACAACTTAACGCTTTTCTTACACTTCTTACAACTGTTCCAGTAACCTTTTATCTACTAAGTAGCGTCATTTTCAACGGGCAACTGATTTACTGGCCCGACCAGTCTCCACAAGGGGCCTTTCAGACTTCCGTTCTGATTTTCGGGCCCTCCACCGCCTTCGAAGGGGGCCTGCCCGGTTCGACTGACCCTCCCACACTCCACCGAACTGCGCCCAACTGCGGCAGACCATCAGCGATCCCGGCGCCGGCCGGCATCCTGGCTGCGCCCGCGGCAAGGCCGAAAGCGCCTGGAGCCGAGACCTTCCGGGGCCGCGTCCCCCCTCCCCAGGGCGCAGGCCTCCAGGTGGCCAGAGCCCCCGCGGACGGCGGACTCCTCTTCTCGCCGCAACGGCATCCCGGGCCGTCACATGCAGCCGTCCCCGGAGCGCCGCCCGCCTGGGGCCGCGCGTCACCGAGGCCCTCCCTCGTCCCCTGCACTCTGGAGGGACACAGCGTATCGCTCTCTACCCGGGATGCCCATCCTGGGATGTCGGCTTGGGGGTAGAGTCAAGGGTTGTTTTTCTTGTACAGAACAGTTTTGCGGGCCTGCCCTGGACGTGGTCGCTAGCGCCGAGCAAGGGTTGCACGGGCGCCGCGCCGGCGCGAGGCCGCGCACGCACACCATCCAGTCGCGCGGGAGCGTCCCGCCCCCACCGCAGAACTCCCAGCGTGCCCCGCGAGGAGCCCGCGATGACGTCCTCGGGGCGCGCCCAATCGCGCCGGGCGGCGTCATCTCGTCGCCTCTGCCCCCAGGCCGGGTTCGGCGAGCGCGCGTCAAGTCCTGGCAGCAAAGGCGGCCGAGGCTCCCGCCGCACCCACAGGAAGTCCTCCGAGGCCGCGGGCCGTAACGGCTGCCCAGGCCGCAGGGACGTCCGTCTGAGCACGCGCTGGCGAGGTGCGGGTGACCTACCTCGTTGCGACGGGGGGCTGTCACGGGCTTGGAGGACGGGGCGCGCACACAGCTGGACGGGGCTAGCTCTCCGGCGCTCCGCGGCGGGCGTCAGCGTGGGGTGCGGCCGAGAGGCGGGAGCGGGCGTAGGGCGGGGCCTGCCTTAGCCATTCCTCGCTTCCAGGCCGGCGGCGGGGCCGGCCACGTCGGCCGGCGGGCGGGCCCGGTCGGGGCGGGGAGATGGGCGGAGCCTCGCTGGCGGCACCCCGGGCTCGGCCTCCGGACAGGGAGGCCGGTCGGAGCTGCGGAGTTGCGCGGCCCGCGGCGCTCGGCGGTGCGGCTTGCGGTTTGCCCCTGGATGCCAGAGGGCTGCTGTACTCCTGCCCGCCACGAAAAATACGTTCTCGGGAGAGCGGTTAAGTGTCCTACACTTCCCTCTTGGAATTCTCTTAAAGTGAGGAAAACGTGTGTGGTGCTACAGGGAATTGAACCCAAGAGCCACATCTTGCATGGAGCCACATCTCGAGCCCTCCTTCCCTTTATTTTCACTTTTAAACAGCGTCTCATTAAGGTGCTAAACTGTCCTGGGTGGGTAAGATACTGGGATCTCCCAGCCTCGACCTCCCAGGGGGCTGCTATCACAGGAGCACCACAATGCCTGAGGATGGTTGGTTAGTTCGTTCTTTTTTTTTTTTTTTTTTTTTTTTTCTTTTTTCTCTTTTCTTGATACTTCGTTTTCCAGCATTTTCTCCTAGTGTAAAACAATGATCAGCAGCTGTTTTTCTCCTGGAAGATAGTGATCTCCTGACACCAGTTACTACCCCTCCTCCTTGAGAGAAGGGGGAGGGGTAAAGGGAGGCAGCAAGTACACATCCCTCACATTCTTAGCAATAAGGGCTGGAAAAAGACGTGTCTCCCTTCACCTTTAGTGCCTGTCATGTCAAGAATTGAGGTCTGAGGCTGGGGAGATGGCACAGTAGAAAAAGTGCTTGCCTGGCAAGCGCACGGGCCTGAGTTCAATCCCCGGTTCCGGGAAAAAAAAAAGAATTGAGGCCTGAAAATGACACCCTGTCTCTTGGCTCCTTGGAGCATGTCCTATTTTGAGTTCACCGAAGCACCCCCATCTCTCATTTTTGTTTTGTGGTACAAGGGATAGATCTCAAGAACTCAGGCACACTAGGCAAACTCACCCTTAGAGGTGGCCATTCCTGCCCAGCTGGTGGTGGTACCAGTGACTCTCCATTGCTTACTCTTCCACATCCAGACGCATTTGGAGCTCAGAGATGCTAATTCTCCACCCTTTCCTCTTCCCACGTGTCCCACCTCAAGCCTTCAATCTCTTTTTGGCCCTATGGCCTGAAATGGACCATTTTTAGCTTTGTTTTTGATAGATTTCTGGCCTGAGTATAAACTGCAAAATTATGGCCCTGGGCTGGCCAGATAGCTCAGCGGATTAAAGCACCTGCTTTGGCAGATGCAGGGACTGTGTTTCAATCCCCAGCATGCCATGCCAGCTTGTCCCTGGGGCAAGCTGATAGTGACAACCTGGGCATGGTGGTGGCACATGCCTGTAATCCCAGCATTTGGGAGGTTAAAAACAGAATCACTAGGAGTCCAATCTAATACTGAGGCCCGGAACACCCTCTAGACCCTTCCCTAAAATACAAAAAAAAAAAAAAAAAAAAAAAATCTAAGCAAAAAGATTAAAATTAAATTATCATGCCCTGATTCAACATGCCTGAATCCCAGAAACAACAGCTTATCTTCCCAGTGATGGCTTCCTTGTTCTTCCCCACCCAGTCCTGGATACTTTTCCAGGCACACAAGGGCCCCCAGTCAGCTCCTGGGTGTCCCTGAACCTGCCCTCCAGTGAAAGTCCACAGTCTCAGCCTCCCTGTCTCAGGGCGGGGAGCCCTCCAGTTCTCCCTGCCCTCAATCTCCACGTCCTGCTCATTGGCAACCAAGGCTTTTTCCATCCTTGTCTTTTACTTCTGCTTCTCTGCTGTGTGCAGAAAAACCTAAGTTTTGCCCTGTCTTACATTCCTGTTACTGTGCTGAGATTGGAGGCTCTTAGTGACAAGAAATAGAGTGAGCGGTGAGGAGTTTATCAGGCCATTGAAGAAAAGCAGACCAGGCAGGTATGTGGGAAAAGTCCTGCCCCAGATTGCCCTGATCTTGTTGTTTTGTTTTAGTGTGGGAGACCAATGCTTGGCCTCATACTACAGACTGCTGCATTTGATCTGTTGTCTTGTGACCTTCCCAGAGCTAAGTTTCCGTTTCCCCTCTGAGCCATTTCCCAGAAGTCACATGCCTGATCTCCATTCTAGAGACCACCCCCAGTGCCTAGCAACCTGATGACGTATAATCACTCCTCCCTCTTTTTCCCCCGCTTCCTATAAATTCTGAGACTTCCTTGAATAAACGAGGCTTGATCAGAACCTTTGTCTTGCCTCCATTTCTCGTGTCTCCTGTCCCTATTTCATCCCCACTCCCCTTCCAGGGTCCTCGTTGACTAACCCGCGGGTCAGGTCAAGTGGCGCCCAACGCAGTACTCTGGCACGGGGGATCCAGTGAGGGACACTGGTCGTCAGCCTGGCCAGCACCCTTTCCTCAGGAGGTTGACTCGTCGCAGGAGCCTGCCTCTTCGTGTCCCCTCGGTAAGTGACCAGCGATTCATTATGGGACAGGCAACTAGTGAACATGAAGTGTTTCTTCAAGGCTTAGAAAAAGCTCTCAGGGCACGAAGAGTAAAGGTTAAAGGTAAAGATTTGTCTAAGTATTTTGCATATATAAAGTAGGTCTGTCCCTGGTTTCCCTTGGAAGGTACTATTGACTCCAAGCGCTGGAAATGGGTGGGCGATGCTTTAAAAGACTATTATGATGTTTATGGGCCCAAAATGGTCCCTGTGACTGCTTTTGCTTACTGGAATCTGATAGATGAACTCTTATCCCAAAAGTCTAGAGATCCCCAGGTTGCTTCTATGATTCAGAAGGGTGAAAAGATCCTCCGAGTGGACTCTAATCCCTCAGTCTCCGCTTCGGCCAATAAACCATCCACTCAAACTAGTTCAGATGCCCCCAAACAACAAGAGGACCTTATGTCCTTCGATAGTGACGGTGATGGGGAGATGACTCAGGCGCCAGCTCAAGATGGCACAGAGCTTGCGGACAAAGATGGCAGAGAACAAAGAACTTCTTCCCAATCAGTGAAGAAGCCTCTAGGGGGTGGAGCCTCTTCGGCCATTTTGAATACAGTTACCCCCACCAACACTGTGGCTACTAAACTGTATAGCAAGATTTACCCTGATTTGCCAAAGCCCCCAGAGCTTATAGCGCGTTCTAATAACATTGACTGGGATGATCTAGCGCAACAAGCCACTCAATATCACATTCCAGATTGTCCCCCACCTTTTCCCGCTGCTCCGCCTATGGTTTTCCCAGCTTTTGATTCCCAGGCAGAACTAAAGTCTAGGATACAATTCCTTAAGTCTCAGATCGCTTTAGAAAAAGAACACCAAGACCTTATTATTCTTCTTAAAGAACTTCGACTAAAAAATTCTTGTCACCACAATCAGCCTGGCTCCTGCTGCGTTTCTTTGATACCACCTACTGGTGGCTTTGTCTCCCGGCCCACTGCCCGGCAGGATCATACTTCCATCTTAATTGATATGGATGTACCACCGCCTATTGGTGACTCTCAGAAA